GGAAGGAGGGGGAAGGAGGGGGAAGGAGGGGGAAGGAGGGGGAAGGAGGGGAAGGGATTGAATAATTCTGAGTGATTCCCTAATTTTGCTCATTTATATTTTCAAATTTTTTCTAAAACATTCTATCCATTTTAAAAATGAAAAATATTGCTCAATAACTATTCAAATACCATAGGAGTATATGAATTAGAAAATAAGCCCCCTTCACCTTGCTAATCTCTGGGGAGGAGGATTCCAGGAGAAGGGTAAGTTTTTTCTCTCTTTCTCTTGCACAAGTTATATAAAACATAAATGGGATCACAGTAAAAGTACTCCTTTTTTCACATAAGATGTCATACTCTTACCATATTATATAGGTATTTCAAAGTAACATTAAAAGCTGCAGACCAGGAAGTACTTGTAAAGACACAAATGGATATACATGTTTATTATTAATGCTTATTTGTTAAGATACACATATTATTTCTTTTTTTAAATTTTATTAATTTTATTTTGTTTTGTTTCAAATGGTGTAACATTTTTCTTTTTATAATAGCTTCTGCTTTTTTATAGTTTAATTTTATATGTTCAGTTACTTTTAATGTTTGCTGAATCACTGAATACACTTGAATAACAAACTTTTTATAAAGCTAAGAAAGTATAGATCTCTCTGTTGGAATATTTGTATTGAAGTCAAATCACTCAAAAAAACGCTCATTTTCTAAATGTTTAACTACTCCCACTTCATAACTTCAATATAAATAAATACACAGGCTTGATATAATTTTTGAACTATTTTTGCAGTCCAGCACTGAAGGCTGTCCACTGAAGGGCAAAGGCTCTTCCTATTTTCATTATTTCCATTTCCAGCTCTTCAGATGTACTGTAATTCTCTGATTATTTTGTGTATGTATAATGTGTGTATATATAGATTGTGTATATACATACAATCTATTGATTTTAAAAATTTATTTGATCTGTATCTTTTAACACCTCATCTAGGGATAACTTACACAATGCACAGTAAAATCTAGACATTTTTATAAAATGTTGAACTCTAGACTATCTCCCTAGCATTACACAGATGTTGTCTATACAAAAATCCTATAATGTTCTAATATAAATATTTCTCACTGAAACCATTTTTTCTCAAACATTAACCTAAAATTTGATACAGTATTTCAGATGCTATTCCTTCAAAAGAAAACTTTATTATCAAAGTCTTGTATTTTACATTTTAAACAGACTATTAAAACTCATATGAAATAGATGAAGTTTCATGAATAATGACTAATGTTACTTCCTTGTTTTATAAGTTTAGCAAAATGCTGTTTTCTTATTTCACCATAAGTTTTCAATGGCAACAATAGGTTATACTGATACATATTTATACCCTTATGTATTTCATGGTTGAAAATGCTCGATTATTTTTAACTAAACAGCAGGTACTGTTAAAAATTCTGGTGATACATTCTAAATGTTTTTGTTTTATTAACACTGATAAAACTGTAGTTTTTAGATTTTAAATGCTTGCTTCTTTATGTGAAACTAACTCTACATGTCTTATTAATAACAACACATTTTCCTTACTTGAGCCATGAACTTGACATGATTGCTATATAATTAAATATGTAAATTTTTAGCATTTTCAAATTTTAATGATACAAGTTTTGAGCACCATTTGCACCTGACTATATGGCACTAGCAATAATAAGGCAGTCATATTTTTTCTTGAAATAATCAAGCTGTTTTCCATTCCATAAATACAAATTATTTATTTTGAATTCACTGTTGCACAGTATCAGAAGATGTTCCAAGCTGCAGTTCATTATTAATATCATTTCTTCTTTGTTCCCCTGGCAAATCTGATGACATGCTTGATATTGGCATGTGGTAGAATGGTACTGAGTCGTCTGTTAAGGAAGGCAGAATAGCAGCAGGACCAAACGAAGTCACACTGGGCACCCTTACAGAAGATGGCTGATACATGAGAACCCCTTTGGTTGGGCTGCTTTATGTTTCTGACATAAAGATGAACTTCCGTTTGGCAGGGGGGGGTCTTCCTCTTCATCAAAAAAGCTTTCTATTGTTAAGTCAGTAACATCCACTTTCTTCTTGCTTGCCTCATTGGCTACAGTCACTGAACAAGGCTTACTGAGGACATTTGAACATTCTATTTTTGTACAGGGTTGGCTGGACACTTTCATAGCTTCTTTTTTCGGTCTCATTGGACACCAAGAGCCATCTTCTTGGAATTTGATCTCATTCAAATCAGAACAGTCATTGAGAATTTCCATAAAAAGCCGATCTAAAATTAAACTTTCATAGGCAGCTTTTTTGTCACACACAGGACATATCCAGGTGGGCTTCTTCTCATTATTTGCAGATAAAGGGCTGCATCAAAACACTGTAGATGTGTACAAGTCACTGCACGGCATGGGATTGTCAACCTCATTTTCCCTAAAGGGCACATCAAGGATACCCAAAGGCTTGTTGTAGCAATTTCACTATCAGGATCTGCAGTAAGTTTTTCTTTAATTAGTGCTCTGGAATGATCAGGGTTTCTAATACCTTTCATTTTTAATCTCTGTAATAACATGGCTGATGTGAGCTGTCGTACAAGATATACAGACATGGAGTAATTCTTTCCGATTTCTGATGCCCAAGAAATGGAAATCTGGTTTGGCACAGTGGAAGATAACCTAACTAAAGATGTAATATTCAAAGGGCATCCAGGGCGCTTCTGTTCAATCCCATTTTTAGGTGGTGGTGCATAGCCAGGCAAAGGAAACAGCTTTCCATTTACTTTTATACACAGACTATTGGGATAGTTATCTTCTTGAGGGCAGCTTGTCTCTGCCAGGCAAAGTCTCAGCTGAATTTGGACAGTATAATCTCTCCTACCACCTGGCAAAAAATCCCTGGATATGCATATCTCTCTAACTTGCTGAGGTGTCAGAGCAAAAATAAAAAACTTCTCTTGAAATCGTTGAATACTGCTTTGAACTAAACTTGTGGGTTTGATGAGAACATCAAGAACATCATAAAAGGGTAAGTTTTTAAATTGCACATCAGGATGGGCAGGAGGAATTGGGGGAGATGGCTGCTGCATCTCAAACGTGGGCTTAGTATCTTGAAGCAACACAGAACCAACAGGAGAGGATGGTGAGTGGGGTGTAACTGAAGTGGAAGGCAACGCGTGGATTCCAGCCATGGCCAACTCAGGTTCTACAGGCGATGAGCTACCATCCTAACTGAAAACTGATGATTTGATTGTGGACAAATCAGAAAGTCCTTCAAGAGTCCGTGGGTATCGGCGTCTATACAATTCTCGGATTTTAATCTGAACCGCAGGGCTGCAGCCACTCTTCAATAACTGCAACGCCCTCATCAGGAGGTCATGCTTGCGTCCACTTTTATTCCGCCCAGCAAAGCCTAGTAATACTTGTAGTTCAGAAACCCTAAAACTAGAAACCATATTCCTCAACTCTTCGAAATCCGCCATTTTACACCAACCGCGGGCGCCGCCACTGCTGCCGCCACAGCACCCCCTCCCGTTGCCGCCAACGCCACCGCCGCCACCACGGCCGCCGCCGCCTCCAGCACCATCCTGCACTGGGCGCCGCTAAAGACGCCGCGGCGGCCGCCACCGCCGCCACCATCGGTACACATATTATTTCTTAAATAGCAACTCTTTTCTATAGTCCATGTAACAAATTATTTATAGACAAAAATGGTAGTTAACAGAACATTTCTATGGTGAAAATGACTTCCAAAAATACTTTCATATACGTGCTAAAATTCTAATCCTATGATTTACAATAAGTAGATTACCTTCTCTGGGGGATTCAGGAACTCATCCTTTATTTTACGCATTTCTTTAAGTGTTACTTTTGCAGTATTGCCAAAGTCCACATATTTAACTTCAACTTCACGATGTCCAGGCAATCCTTCAAAAATTATGAAATTAGCAATCATAAACTTGGAATGAATAGAGAAAACTATCTAGTGAAATTTAGATTGACCTACAGTCAACTAGATTAGAATACTTGTATGTTCAACATAAAAACTTAATATTTCTTAAAATGTAAAAAATATTTCAAATATGTGAACTTCAAAAAATCAACCATAATGCAGTTGTTCAGACTTGGTGAATTAGAAACTAACAAGGTATCCAAAGGACAACCAATATCAGGATGACAAAATAACTATCAAATGTTTGGTGTTATGGTCTAAAAATTAAGAATTAGGCTTTCAGTTAGATTGACTGGGATAGAACCCTAGCTCAATCACTTGAATGCCATATGGCTTTAAGCAAGTTAATTAATATTTCTAAGATATTACCCTGACCTGAGCAAGTTGTTTTTTCTCTCCAACAGTCATTATTTCATCTGTAAAATGGGTATACCAAAAGAATCAAACCTTGTAAGGCATTTTTTTTTTTGAGGATTCATTTATTTAAAATGCTTTGCAAAGCACCAAGCACAAGCAAGAACTTAATGTTTATTTTTAGTGCTTCTTAGTTTATTGTTAGATCAACATTGGTGGTCAAACAAGGCAAAAGATTTAATAACCAAACTAAAGATTCATTCATATAATGACATCTAACTATGACATGTAAAAAATTTCATTTTGGGGGATACTGTGAAATATAAGCAGAGATAGATCTGTCAATCTAATCTCTGTATTTTAAGGATACCAAAGAAATCTCTGGAAGATTCAAACACATCCAAGTTTGAATAAAGACCTATCACAAACTAACCTTTTTTATAAACATTCAAAACATCTGTCTGACTTTTGCTTCTCTTAGCACATATATGTAAGTAAGGTGTTGCTAAACCTGTTGCCATCATTTTCAAACTTAAAGACGAACAGAATGTATGTGATTTCAATATGGGAAAAGCGTAGGTGTTCTTTGCTGCTTGATAGACGTGGACCCAGGTGGGGGCAACTGGTACGCAAGATGACACTGCAAATAACTTAGGCCCTACAGTAGTAAGCATCTGTGGTGACCGAGAAGACACTTGTCACTGTAAGTATAGGGTAAGAAAGTAAGGGAACCTCTCCCCACTTCCACTGGAGTCTTCATGCTAGAAGGACATCCTAACTGTACCAGTGCCATTACATCCTTACCATTCCTCAAGTCTCTGAATGAAGATGCAGTTTTAAACAAAATAAACAAATAGATATAGGATGGAATTTAAAGAACATTTTGATCCAAATTATCAATCATGCATGAAAGGAGAGTCTGGAGGCATGGAAGGTCTCAAAATTTACCTAGTATTTATTCTCTATGAGTAAACAATCAGAAGATGCTCCACCAAAATAAGGGAGTAACCAAAGAGGTAAACATGGGATCCAGAAAACAAAGTCCCATACAAGAGAACAATGAAGTACACTGTCAAGTGAATTCAATTCCCAGAATAACTAAAGTGTAGTAAGCCTAGAGGACAAGCAGTCTAATTAAAGCAGAAGACAGAAGGATGTTTTCACCATTAAAAAAAATCAAACTGGGGCGGGCCGGGTGGCGCAGTTGGTTAGAGCGCAAGCTCTGAGCAACAGGATCGCCGGTTCAATTCCCACATGGGCCAGTGAGCTGCACCCAAGCTGAGCTGCCACTGAGCTGCCAATGAGTGGCCGGATGGCTCACCTGGTGAGAACACATGCTCCTAACAACAAGGTTGCTGGTTCGACTCCCACATGCAATGGTGGGCGGCGTGCCCCCGCAACTAAGATTGAACACGGCATCTTGAGCTGAGAGGTTGTGAGCTGCCGACAGGTGGTCAGATGGCTCCGTTGGTTAGAATGCATGCTCTTAACAGGAATGCCAGTTTGACTCCCGCGTGGAATGGTGGGCTACACCCCCCCCCCTCACTCCACCTCACCTGCAACTAGATTGAAAGCAGCAACTGGACTTGGGAGCTAAGTTGTGCCCTCCACAACTAAAATTGAAGGACAACTTGACTTGGAGCTGATGGGTCCTGGAAAAACACAATGTTCCCTTCTCCAACACTGTTCCCTTCCCCAGTTCCCCAATAGAATCTTAAAAAAAAATCAAACTGGCACTATCTGAAAGTCTAATTGTGTAGAAACGTTTTGAAATTTTAAGAAGCTGTAGCCATAAATTAAAAGAAAATGAAGTGGAAAGTTCATACAATTATTAACTCAGAATTAAACAAAATCTATTTTATAGTTTAGCCGTGAAAATATTTACATAAAATACGAATTTAATGAAAAATTGTCAACTATGGAGGCTAAGAAGGGGATAAGAGCTATAAGAGATCTAAAACTTATCTAACATAATAAGAAATAATATCTAGGGGTATAAGTCATTTAGGTTTAACTTTTTAAATAAAGCAACATTAAGTCCTAGGCAAATCAAATGAAATCTAAGGAGCCAGAGATGATCTCAACATGATCACCAACTTTGTAAACACAGATGACAGAGAAAAATGGTAAGATCAAATAATATCACTCCCATGATTTAATTTTTACCAACTCAAATGGTAGCATTTTTTAAGCATAATATTTCCCTGTAGAATTAGTGTATAATTTCCTACCAATGACTTTTGCTCGGTACCAAACTCCATCTTCAAATTTGGCTACACAGGCTTGATCTTCAACAGGACAGAGGATTTCCAGATTTTCCCCATCTTTACTTTTATAGAAATCATCAATTGTCTTTAATAGAAGTAAAAAATCCAGGCTCTCTATCTAACAAAAAAAGAGATTAAAACAGTGTAATTTCATAGACACTTAAAATTTAAATTATGCATGTATTATAGGCACTGCTTATAAAATTATGAAATGTTAGAATTGGAATCAGACATAAAACAATTGTTATTTGAAATATTTTATATTTCATAAATCAACTTATATTTGAAATATTTTATTTCAGAAGAATTATATAAAATTAGTATATAGACATAAAAATTTTTTAATCATAGTCCTCAGATTCCTGATGTATATATATATCCTTCTAGATATTTTTCTGCACATACACTTTCCATACTTTTGTTTTGATAAAAAAATGAGAGCATACCATTCAATTTGATAACGTACATTTTTCTATCAATTCTTACTTTTTCTTTTCTTTTTTTTTTAAGATTTTTATTGGGGAATTGGGGGATGGGAACAGCGCTGGGGAAGTGGGGGAAGAGGAACAGACAAGTTGCTGTCCTTTTTGTTCTTCAGTCCAGTTGTGGAGGACGTTGCTTCACTGGCCCAAGTTGGCACCATCATTGTGCTCTTCCCAGGTGAGGCAGATAGATCAGTCGCCGGCTTCTGGACGGCCACTCACGGTGGCTGCTGGCCGCTCATGCTGGCTGCTGGCTACACATGGTAGCCCATGGCAACCCACTGCAGCAGGGGCTTCAGCCTATGCTGTTGCCGGCAACTCACAGCAGCCCAGCTCCAGGTCGAGCTGTTGTTCAGCATCTTAGCTGTAGAGGGCAGTGTCACTGGCCCTCATATGTGGGATCTGAACAGGGGCCCTCTGGCCTCCCAAGCCAGCTCTTTAACCAATGCGCCACTTGGCCAGCCCCTTACTTTTTCTATTTCAGTAAGGGTTCCTACTAAGACTACTAGACCATATTTCGATTTCCCCAACTGACCAAAACCAATATCCAATCCAAGACGACACATTATATCTGGTTATCTCAATAAGTCTAGGGTAGTGTTCCTTAATGTGTTTTTTTAACGACCCTGTCTTGTTGAAGAGAGCCTGCTATTTTTCTGCAGAATGTCCCATCCTTTGGATTTATGTGGTTATGTCCCCATGTTGTTATTTAGCTTGTTCCTTCATTGAGTAAGGTCGATTCCCTGAATTTCCCAAAGGCTGAAAGTTATCGCTACAGATTTGACGGATTTTAACCAACCCTTTATGGCTGGAATATATCATAACTACGCCTGTTGCTACATCCAAAGACAATATTACTGAATCACTAGGAATACACTAAGGTTCACCTAGGGATTGGAGTGATGATTCTGATCCCTCTACTGTACAGTTATGTTTCTCCCTGGTAGCCCAAGTAATTAATGTAATTCAAGTAATTCATGGCATTATATGAATGTTCAGTTTCCTATCAACCATCTATCTAATGGTTTTAAAATAAGTTGATAAAATATGTAAATCAATAATTTTAGTAGTTTGTGAAATGGCTGCATTATTGATTAAAATAGAGCCATTATCAAATGGGGCTTTTTGGTTATTTTAAAACATAGTTCCTATAGTACCTAAAACATACTTCTTAAAACAGAATAAAATCAAAGATACTTGTTTGAACTCAACACCCCCTCCCCCGCAAAAATAAATAAACCAAACAATCCAATTAAAAAATGGGCAGAGGACCTGAATAGACATTTCTCCAAAGAGGACATACAGATGGCCAATAAACCTATGAAAAGACGCTCAATGTCATCAGAGAAATGCAAATTAAAACCACCATAAGGTATCACCTCACACCTGTCAGGATGGTTGCCATCAATAAATCAACAAACAAGTACTGGTGAAAATGTGGACAAAAGGGAACCCTTGTGCACTACTGGTGAGATTGTAAATTGGTACAGCCATTATGTAAAACAGTGTGGAGATCCCTCAAAACATTAAAAATAGAACTACCGGGCCGGCCGAGTGGCACAATCCTTAAGAACTGGCTTGGGACGCCAGAGGGCCCCGGTTCGGATCCCACATATGAGGGCCAGTGACACTGCCCTCCACAGCTAAGATGCTGAACAACAGCTCAACCTGGAGCTGCGGTGATGGCGTAGGCTGCAGCCCCTGTGGCAGTGGGTTGCCATGGGCTACCATGTGTAGCCAGCAGCCAGCGTGAGCGGCCAGCAGCCGCAGTGAGCGGCCGTCCAGAAGCCGGCGACTGATCCGCCTCGCCCGGGAAGAGCGTAATAATCGTGCCAACTTGGGCCAGTGAAGCAACGTCCTCCACAACTAGACTGAAGAACAAAAAGGACAGCAACTTGTCTGTTCCCCTTCCCCCAATTCCCCAGCGCTGTTCCCATCCCCCCAATTCCCCAATAAAAATCTTAAAAAAAAATAGAACTACCTATGACCAAGTAATTTTACTTCTGGGTATTTATCCAGGGAAATCCAAAACACTAACTCGAAAACACATATGTACCCTTATGTTCACTGCAGCGCTACTTACAATAGCCAAGATATGAAAACAACCCAAGTGCCCATCAATAAACAACTGGATAAAGAAATTGTGGTACATTAATACAATGGAATATTACTCAGCTATAAAAAAAGAAATCTTATCATTTGCAACAATATGGATGACCTTAGAGGGTATTACGCTAAGTAAAATAAATCAGAGAAAGACAAATGCTGTATCATCTCACTTATATGTGGACTCTAAAGAACAAAATAAGCAAACAAACAGAAAGAGACTCATAGATACTGAGAACAAACTAATGGTTGCCAGAAGGGAGGGGTGTTGGGGAGCTGGGTGAAAAAGGTGAAGGGATTAAGAAATACAAATTAGTACCTACAAAACGGTCATGGGGATGTAAAGTACAGCATAGAGAATATAGTCAATAATGTAACAATTATGCATAGTACCAGGTGGGTACTAGACCAGGTGGGATCACTACATAAATTATATAAATGTCTAACCACTATGAAACTAATATAAAATAATGTTAAATGTCAACTGTAACTGAAAAATTTTTCAAAAGATAAATGTTTGAGTATTTCTCCAAATGCCAATCCTTAGGGCTAAAAAATATTTAAAATCCACCTGAAATGGCAAAGAAAATTAGGTTTCTCTCTTTTGTGAGAATAATGCAAGTGGAAATTTTCTGAATGTCTCTTTTCTTGTTATTTCATTTAAATTACTATAAAACCTACTTTAAGCTTCCTGAACTTTTATTTCTAAGTATGTGCTTTTCACATTCTTCCATTAACAGGTTATCCAAAGAACATTAAAAAATTCGATAGAGAAATGACAACCAGCAAGCTATCATTGTATCACAAAAACACTGAAAAAACAACAACCAAGAAATCATCTGAATCAGCTTTGTCAAAGCTCTGGAACAGCTAAAGGTTTACAGCAACCAAGCAAATACCCAATCAAGCTCTCAGCATTCAAGGAAATCTCTTGTCAAAACATTTGCTGAACACAAGCTAAAGGAAGAGACTTCAGTGATCTCACACAAGGAATAGTCTTTGCAAAAACAGTTTGGAAAAGTTTCAAAACAAACCAACAACTATAATCTTCAACAACTGAAAAAAGGCCAGCAAACCCAGGGTGGGGGGGGAATCTGATTTTCAGAAGGCACACAAAGTAACAGGAAAACATGGCTCATTCAAAGAACAAACCGGACAGAAACTGCCCCTGAGGAAGGTGAGCTAGTGGACTTACTAGATTAAAACTTAAGAACAAATGTCTTAAATTGCTCAAAGAGCTAAAGAAAAACATGGACAAGAACTAGAAGAAACCAGGAAAACAACAGAAGACAAAAATGAAAATATCAACAAAGAAGTAGACATTATAAAAAGGAATCAAACAGAAATTGTGGAGCTAAACTGTACAATAGCTAAAATGAAAAATGCACTAGAGGGTTCAGAAACAGATTTGAGCAGCCATTATAATCAATTAATTTGGAGAGAAGATAATTGAAATCACTCAGGGAGGAGCATAAAGTAAAAGGAATAAAGTGGACTAGAGACTAAAGGACTTATGGGACACCATTAAACACATAAAATATGCATTATAGGGTCCCAGAAGGAGACAAGAGAGAAAGAACAGAAAGATTATTTAAAGAAATAATGCCCCAAACTTCCCATATTTGATGAAAGACATCAATCTACAAATCCAAGAAGCTCAATATTATGAGTTGAATCATGTCTCTCACAAAAAGATATGCTGGAGTCATGATCCCCAGTAGCCCAGAATGTGACCTTAGAGAGAAAACCTTTACAGAGATAATTAAGTTAAAATGAGTTCATATGGAAGGACTTAATTCAATATGATTGGTGTCCTTATTAAAAGGGGTAAATTTTGGCTCAGAGAACAACACACAGGAGAATACATGTCAAGATGAAGGCCAAGGTTGGGGTGAGGCAGAAGCCATGGAGCACCCCAAATTCCAGCTAATCACCAAATGCTAGGAGAAAGGCGTGGAATAGATTCTTACTCACAGCCCTCAAAAGGAACCAACTTTACTGATAACTTGATCTTGTACTTCTGGATTCAGAACTGTGAGACAGTAAATGTATGTTGTTTAAGCCACTTAACTTGTGAAATTTTGTTATGGCAGTCCTAGGAAATGAATGCAGATTTTGGTACTGGAAAGTAGGGTGTTGTAACAAATACCTAAAATGTGGGAGTGGCTTTGGAGTTGAGTAATGGGTAGAGGAGGAAGAGTTGTGAAGTGTCTGAATGAAAAAGCCCAGATTGCCTTGAAAAGACTGTTGGTAGAAATCTGAACATTAAAAGTGCTCCTGGGGCCGGCCGAGTGGCTCAGTTGATTAAGAGTTGGCTTAAGAGCACGAGCTCTTAGTAATAGGGCCACTGGTTTGATTTCCACATGGGCCACTGACACTGCGCCCAAGTTGAGCTGTCGCTGAGCTGCCAACAGGTGGCAGGATGGCTAGCTGGTGTAACAAGATTGCCTGTTCGATGGTGGGCTATGCCCACCTACAACTAAAGACTGAACTTGGCACCTTGAGCTGAGCTGCTGCCCAGATGGCTCAG